ACACACACACACACACACACACACACACACACACACACACACACCATTTTTGGCTGTCGCCTGTCGACAACCCCCGAACAGCGGAACAGCCGCAACAGCAACAACAGCGAAACAGAAGACAAGAAGAAGACAGAAGAGATGTTGCAGCGGGGTGCTGCTGCGCTGATGCAGCGACAACGGCAGCATCGTCAGCTGTGGGCATCGATGGCACTGGGAGGGAGGCGGCTGCTGGGGACGTTTGTAGGAAGCAGCAGAGCCCTTGGTGGCAGGTTGGTGGCACACAACACCTCCAACACCGCCGCCACCACGGCCAACAGCTTCATCACCAGCTTCACCCACGCATTCGGTCACAACACAACGAGCAGCGCGAGCAAGTCCTGCAGCATACAGCGGCACCACATGCATGTGCTGGCAAAGCCACGCGACTGGCTGCTGCGGATATGGCAGCGCCGGCCTCGCAGCGCGCGAAGGAGACAGCAGCAGCAGCCACCAGAGTCGTTTCCCCCTCCAGAAACAGAGGAGTACTTGCATCCCTGGCACAGGCGACGTGGGCGCCGACCCCCACCGCGCACGCCGGAGTGGCACGAGCCAGAACAGCCGTCGCTGCGAGGGAGGTATCGCGAGGAGCCGCAGAGACACGAGTATGATCGCCACTCCCAGCACCGCCAACAACGACCGCCGCCGCCGCCACCACCTCAGCCTCCGGGCGGCACTGGGCCGATGCGCTTCTCCGACTTTATCATCCCCATCGGCATTGCCGTTGCCCTCTCGTTCTTCACAGGCAGCCCAGATCGCAACCACAAGACCATCACGTGGCAGGAGTTCTACTCCAAGATGCTCAGCAGGGGTGAAGTGAGCCGCCTGGTCATGGACCGCGACCGCAATGTTGTCCATGTCTATCTTCACGACGGTGCAATTATCGAGGTGTGTTTACGCTTCTGGGTTTGCGTGCGCTGTTTGCATCGCGCGTATGATGCATGCGTGGCCTGGCTTGCGCCACAGTACAATCAAACACCGAGCAGCCTCATGCCGGGCGCTGTGTGCGTTAAACCCCTGCTTCCCCTTCCCATGTGCTCAACGCCTTTCCTTCCTTGTTTCATCGTGTCAGGGCTACAACGACACGCGGCATGGCGCCGGCCCGCTCCCGCACTTCCGCATCGACGTTTCCTCTGTGCGCAGCTTCGAACGGCAGCTGGAGGTGCGATGGTGGTGTGCGTGTGTTGATGGTGTGTGTCTGTGTGCGTGTGTTGATGGTGTGTCTGTCTGTCTGTCTGTCTGTGTGTTGATGGTGTGTCTGTCTGTCTGTCTGTCTGTGTGCGTGTGTGTTGACGGTGTGTGTGTCTGAGTTTGCGTGTGTGTATGCATGGTGATGGCGATGGTTATCAACACACCTAACCACGCCAGCTTTGCTGCGTTGCCCAGGCTGCCAGCCAGGACCTTGGTGTGAACCTGCAGGATGAAATCACTCTCGTCTATCAACAGGAAACAGACGAGTGCGTTCACGGCTAGCATACACGCACACATACACACACATACACAAGCACTTGCTTGGTCACTCTTCAACTGTTCTCACCCCGTGCATGTGTGTCTCATGTAATGTGTGCGTGCGCGTTGTACCGCTACTCACTCGCCCCGCCCTCTCTTCCTCAACGCCCATCGCTTCACGTCTCCACTGGGCGGTTTGTCGTTGCGTCGTCGTGGTTGTTGCTCCTCACCAGCCCTGCGTCGTTCTGGATGCTCATCATGATGGGATCGGTCCTTGCCGCTGTGTATATGATCAGCAAGCGCAGTGAGTCAATCCTGTGTGTGTGTGTGTGTGTGTGTGTGTGTGTGTGTGTGTGTGTGTGTGTGTGTGTGTGTGTGTGTGTATGTATGTCTATGTGCGTGTGTGTGTGTGTGTATGTCCATGTGTGTGTGTGTGTGTGTGTGTGTGTGTGTGTGTCCTGGCACTGTTTCGCTTCACTGCTTCATTGCTCTCACAAAGAGCTTCCATCTTTTCCCCCCCATTTCCCACCACAACCACGGCAGGTCGCCTTGGTGGCCGTGGCTCTGGCGTCACACCACCGCGTCCCCCCGGTGTTGGCCGCGGTGGCCCCGCCGGCCCATCTGCCCCTGGCAGCGGTGGTGGGCCTGGTGCTGCCAGCGAAAGCGGCGCAAAGCCGCGCTCCCCACTGGACGACGTGCTCTCTGTGGGGAAGATCAAGCCGCACATGTTTACCCCACAGACGGCCACCACAAAGTACGCACAGCACCCGGTGCCTGCAAGCACCCGAAATCGAGCATGAGTGGCAGGGAGTGGGGAACAGTTTGCCTGTGCTGAGGCCGTGGCCAACATGGATGAGGGTGGTGATGTCCATTCGCAACAAAAGCACTCGTGTTCGGGCCCTCGTTACCTGCACAAACCACCATCATGGCCATCCTCTCATCTGCATGCCTCTGTCCACGGCCAGGTTCAAGGACGTTGCTGGCCTCTCGGAGGCGAAGGCGGAACTGAAGGAATTTGTCGCCTTTCTCACGCATCCACAGCAGTTTCAAACCCTCGGCGCAACAGTGCCAAAGGTGTGTCTGTGTGTCTGCCTGTCTGTGTCTGTGTGTGTGTGTGTGTGTGTCTGCCTGTGTCTGTGTGTTTGTGCGTGTGTCTCTGTGTCTGTCTGTGAAGATGTGTTTACCACAGCTTGCTCGCGCCAGCTGTCCTTTTATTGATGATGTACCTTCCTCATGCCAACACCACCCTCCATCCACCCCACATTGCCACCCTTCACCCCACCCCACCTCTCCAGGGCGCAATGCTTGTGGGTCCACCCGGCACGGGCAAGACGCTGCTTGCGAAAGCGGTGGCGGGCGAGGCTGGTGTGCCTTTCCTCGCTGTCTCTGGCTCGGACTTTGTTGAGATGTTTGTTGGTGTCGGTCCATCGCGCGTGCGGGATTTGTTCAAGCAGGCCCGCGACAACGCCCCCTGCATCATCTACATTGATGAAATCGACGCTGTGGGCAAGTGAGTAGAACGTTGTGAGTTTGTGTGGGTGTGGGTGTGTGAGTTTGGGTGTGCTTGTGTGAGTGTCTGTCTGCCTGTCTGTCTGCCTGTCTCTGTATCAGTCAGCCTGTTCGTCTGTGCTTATTTTATGTCTTGCAGCCAGTGCCTCACCACCAGCACCACCACCACGCCTCTGCATGTGTGCCCAGGGCACGTGGTGCTGCGAACCGCCCGGGCGGTGGCCACTCCGAGCGCGAGTCCACCCTCAACCAGCTGCTCGTCGAGGTGCGCTATTGTTTGTGCTGTCGTGTCGCTCATGCTTCCATCTCACAAGCATACGCCATGTGAACAGCGCCAGCCAGCCTTGGAGGACATGTCACATGAAGTGCGCTCTGCTGTGCAATCGACACAACCACCCCCCCCCCCCTCAACCGCAATCCCAATCAAATACCCTCACCGTTTCCATCTTTACACACACACACATACACACACACATACACACACACATACACACACACACACACACACACACACACACACACACACACACACACACACACACACACACAC